ACAGGTTGTCCAAATTATCTTATTAGGCGTGATTTTTAATTACATATTCCCTTTAAACATGCAATATAGTGATCAATAAATAAATAGAATAAACATCAATATTTGAAGCAATTTAACAATAATTCTAACAATATAAAATCGTTAGAAAAATAATAGAAATAAAAGGAACCTAATTCTTACTTTGATTCTGTTTGCTTGCAACTACAAAATAATAAACGAGTTAGTAACTTCAAGGAAATAATAATAAAACAATAATTAAATTAAATCAAATAGAATTGATTTGGGGCTAAACCCTCAAACAGTTCTACCTTTCACGCCTTGGCTTAAGGACAGAACCACGAGTAAAGTTTGGACTCCTGGGAGTGCTTGAAGAAGGAATTTTGAAAGAATAAGGGTAGGTTAGTGTTAAGGCTAGAGCATAGAAGAGAGAAAAAACTAGAGAATTAATTCCTGCGCCGTACATAAGAAATGAGGGGGTATTTATAGAAAAAATGTGCTAAGGAAACACACGGAACCCTAAAATGATAAAAACCCTAAAAAAGTATATCGTGACACGGGAATTCCCACCGTCAGACGGGAAAAATTCTCGTGACGCGGTGAACAGTTGCGTAACGCGGGAAATATTTTAGGGTACGGGGAATAAAATGCGTGAAGGGTTTACGCGGAACGGACACGGAAACTCCCATGTCACAGCAGGTTTCCCGTGTCACGGGAAATCCCACCGTCAGACGGGACAGTTTCCCGTGACACGGTGGACTATTGCCGTGACGCGGGAATTTTTAGTCCGTTTTTCTGTCTAAATTCATTTTTAACCCTAATTTCGTTCAACGTTTTAAGTGCCGATTGATAATTTCGGGCCATTTCTGATTTATTATTATTTGGGCTAAAAAAAGAAAAAAAAGTAAATAAAATAAATAAAAGGTTTGGGCCAAAATAAATAATAAAACAATAAAATAAAAAAGGTTTGGGCTGAAATTAAAAAAATTTATGCTTTGACCAAACATCAAGACTGATCCATGGACTATCAAAAAATTGAATTTAATTAAATACGATTTTTTAAGCACTCTCGGGATTAAATACTGAACCCGACCAATAGTGACGGTGAAAGGTTGTTCATCATCGGGTTTGGTTTTGGGGAGACATTTTTAGGTGTCTACAACTACTGACCTAGGTCGTGCCGTGTGTGTTGGTGATGAGTCCATTTATTGAATGAAATTAAATAATTGAAATGAGTTGAAAGGGGTAGAGGCGGTACTTTACGTTTATCTCTGAAAGGGGGGCAAACGGCGAGGTCCGATTGAGGTGCTGCAAAAGATGATCTTGCTTGCTTGGGGCACAGGAGGTTGAGAACCGGCTGGCGCAGGCGGGAAAAATACCAAATTTGTGTTCACACATACAGGTGGAAGGCAGACTCTCTCTCTCTCTCTCTCTAAAACTCTTTGATTTTATCTCTCTAGAATGTTTTGGAAACGTCCAAAACTAGAGGGGAAAAGTTAGTATTTATAAAGGGGTAAATTTGAGGGCAATTTTGTAATTTCCCTGGAATGTGAAAAGTTAAAATTTTCACAGTAAAAAAAAAATAAAATAAAATAAAAAATAATTAAAAATTAATTTTGAACCGCCACCTATGGGTGAGTGACACATGTCACAGATGCCACGTGGCGCGCCACGTCACGTCTGTGAGGGGATAATATTTTGGGTAATTTTACCCATGCCACGTGGCCCAATCAGGCCTTGACACGTGTCATACTTTGGTTGGTCCAAATTGGGCCAATCTCCTTTTGACACGTGTCTCTCCTCGAACTTGGGAAGAAAAGGCGGCTTTCATCAGCCCAAATCCCGAGAAAGCCGCAATGCGGTGCATCCCATAATAATTAGGTCAAAATGAGCTAATCAGGGCACATTTACCAAATACCCTATAAATAGGGAGATTTCCCCCAATTTTGGGTCATCTACAATTATTACAGCATACCCTACATTCTCTTTCATCAGAGAATCACCTGATCTCGGAATCCGAGAAGATCTCACCTTTTTTTTCCGCATTTTCTCCCGGTTTATTTCAAGTACTAACTTGATCGTCGGAGGCGGAGCTCCAACCACCCGGAGTCTCCGTTGTTTTGCAAGTACAGGCCACGCGCAACTAGTCTCTGAGCTGTAACTCTCCCGAGGGACAAACACACCCAAAACAGGTATTACGCAGCGGAAATAATATGAATCATATTCATAAAGCACCTAAACCAAGAATCGCATGCATAACACACAAGACACATAATCATACCTTTGATGCGTGAATTCCACGAAGTTATTCGACAGGCAAATCAAGGAGAGGATAGAGCCCCAAGCGTTGCTCCTCTACTTAGTCCACGAGTTTCGAACGAGCCGTCCACCAATACTAGATTGGTCGAGTGATTGAGGAAAACCGCGGTCACCACCTTTTCGGGACAAGGACCGACCACCACGAATCACCACCACCACGAACCACCACAGGAGGCGTCAGGAAGGAGAGAGCTGTGAGAGAGAGAGGAGAGGAGAGTTTCTAAGGGCTAGGTCTCGTGTTTGCTAATTAAGGTTTGATCACACTGATCAGTTAATTACATACTAGCAAAACCTAGGCACCTTATAATCCTATTATAATTAGACTAGGGCACGAAGCCCAAAACTCTCTTATCCACTCCATATAGCCGACCACTATAGGGGATGAGGCCCATGATGGGGCCTCGTCCTCTCGTGCTCGATCTAGACCCTTTGTATGACCTTATAGGATCCGTTCAATCGGGCTTTGGCCTATTTTACTAGTCTAAAGATCGTTACTACCTCTAGCTATGGCAAAACGACAACCCAAATGTACGAACTTAGGGTTCGTTTGGCATTGTTGCGGTTTTTAGTTTTTTGGTTTTTTGTATTTTAAAAGTGTATGACATATGTCATATAATGAATAAAAAATTAGTCAAACTTATTAAAATCATACTAATTTTGAAAACTGACAACAGAAAAGTGAAAACACCTTTATCTTGTTTCCTGTTTTTGGTTTTTTGTTTTAAAAAAAATTGAAAACTGAAAACAAAAAACAATGTCAAACAAGCCCTTAAATATCTCCATAATTTGATCCATTTATATATCTAGTAATTGCACACGACGAAGACATAATTCCTGCAGGAACATTATTAAGAATCTAATAGACTAAGGCCCTGTTCTTTTGAGCTTCTGGGCAGAGCAGATTTCAGCAGAGGAGAGCAGAGCAGATTTCAACATTATTGTTATTATATTAATACTACTATTATTACTAATATTACTATTATTATTATTATTATTATTATTATTATTATTATTATTATTATTATTATTATTATTACTATTATTATTACTATTATTACTATTATTTTTACTATTTTTACTATTACTATTACTATTACTATTATTATTATTATTACTATTATTATTATTATTATTATTATTACTATTACTATTATTATTACTATTATTATTATTATTATTATTATTATTATAAAAAATCGCAAAAAACCTACAAAGTCAATCAATCTACAAGAAATTGGTGGGGAGTCGAGATACAATATGGGCGCCCACCCCTCTAGCTATAGCGAACCCGATCATGCTGAAGATGTGAGCAGCTGCACGAGCACCAATATCTTGAGCCTTAGCGAACGCCTGAACCCGTTTCAGCAACGCAATAGCATCCTTCTCTAATTCCCCCAACGAAGAAAAGGAGAAAGGAAGAAAACCATAGCTAATAGCCCTGTAACGCGCCCCATACTTGTCTCGCTTTCGCTGAGCCGCTGCCGACACAACACGACCAGGAACAAAGTCAGATAACCCCGATTGCATTAAAGGTGAAGACCCCGTCAAGTCAACACATACATCAAGGCCTCTATCCCAGGAATAAAGCAACACATCTTCTGGTCGAAGAGCCCTATCGTTCCCTTCAGTCAACCCAACGTTAGCCTTCTTTCGAGCAAAAATCCTAGACCGAAAACATATATCAACCAGGGTGTCACGAACAATGTTGTACCGATGCTTAATACCCACAATCCCAGCACAAGACATTGCATGATCCCCATAAATATCCCCATCAAAAACCTTTGAGCAAGCAGAACACGGTCTTGAAAGGAGAACAATGGAACACCCAACCAGTAGCAAAGAACACTACGGTAAGTCTTACCATTCTTTGTCTGGCCCAAACCCGATATCGGGTCCGTCCGCAACCAGGCCGAAGAGTAATCCCCCTGTTAGGACTTCCATAAGGCAACCTGATGCGCAGATAAGGAGAAAGTGGAATCCGCAGATGTAGTGACCTTCGTGAAATATATATCTGCCAATTATTATTATTATTAATATTATTATTATTATTATTATTATTATTATATCTCAAAAACAAAAAGTCATACAACCTACAATAAATTAGTGGGAAGCCGAGATACAATCTGGGCCCCCACTCCTCTAGCTATAGCAAAGCCTACCCTAGTAAAAATATGAGCTGCAGCACGTGCTCTAATGTCTTGCGTCGTTGAGAACTTATTATTAATAATAATAATAATAATAATATTACTATTACTACTACTACGTACAAATTGTACAATGATCTGTATTGTTACTTAATTTTCATTTAACAATATTTTTTTTTTTTTTTTTTTTTTTTTTTTTTTTTTTTTAATCCATGCATGCTCATGGGGTCATGGGCACAATCTACACTAGTATGATTAAATACTGATTACTATAAATTTTAATTATCAATTAAATACAGAGTGTGAATCAATTAAATACATATTTTGTGTTATTATTATGATCAATATATATTTAGAAATTGTTAGACATTATTAGTAATAAATATTATTATAAATTTTAATAATTTGTATTGTGAATTATTAATTAATATTATTCTTAAATATTAACTATAGTTATTTATTAATTATTGATTTATTGATATTATTAATTGATATTAATCGGAGCATAGCAGAGCAAAGCTTAAACAAGCCCTTTTTTACGAAACAGGCGAGGCCTCAAAGACAAGACAAGTACACAAGATGTGGTCACTTGTCAGTCTCGTTTCCCATAAGCCGATACACTAGAGACTGACAGAGGGACTGAGGCTGGTTTCAAAAGGTTGCGACACCAATTTGACCAATATACTAACCTTCGCCGGCGGCAATAACCGTCGAGAAAACCAGTACAACCTCGTTACCTAACAATTCAACTACAAATTCTGCCCAACCGTTTTTAGGGTTTAAAGCTATAATGGAGGTCGCCGGTTCAGACAATCAAGGGCGCGAATTCAAGAGCTCTGCCGAGATGTGGAAAGAACAACTCGGCGATGGCACCGATTCTCACAAGAAAGTCGATTGGTATCGCAATGGCGTTGGTTATTGGCAAGTCAGTTGCTTTTTTTTTTTTTACTCAATTTTGGTTTAATTATATCAATTTTAAACAATAATTATAATTTGTAATGTTGGTTGAATGCATTGATATGTGTTGAAGGAAGTGGATGCATCAGTGGATGGTGTATTGGGTGGATTCGGCCATGTGACCGAACCCGATATAAAGGGTAGTGAAGCGTTTCTTAACTCTCTTTTGTCAGACCCTTTGCTCAATAACGGGAATAGTCATCGTGTTGCTCTTGGTATGCTCTGAACCGGCTATCGTCGTTTAACTTGGTTTTTTTGGTTGGTTGCATGATTCATCAGAGTAGGAATGGAATGTTGTTGCATGTGCATTTTAGTCGCTATTTTCAACATATGGAATGTGGTATGGCTGATCATGAGGACTTAGCTTTAAAAAATGTGGAATAATGTGTAAATTGGAGTTATAGGAAGATTCACCCTAGTACATCATTGATCAGACAATTAAAAAGGGTAGTACTTAGTTTCAAGATTGCAATTTGTTATATTTTTGTACTTTTTTTATGTTCCAACCTTTTTTCCATAAATTAGCTTGGTTGAAAGGTATGCTACTCAGTCATTGTCCCTAAATATTGTTTTTTGGTCCAGTATTTGTTCTTTAATTATTCCTCTCGATGGTGTATAGCATTAATATACATGTTTATGCATGTCTAATCTGAATTTTATTATGCCGAGTTTCTCATCAGTACCAATAGAAAGTGAGCTTCACTCCCATTGATTAATGATAAAAAAAATTTTGTCAGCCACAATTTTAAAAACCAAAGAGCATTTCTCTTTAGCCTGAACACTTAAATGAAACACTACAGAACTGCCTAAATGGAAAATTAATTTTAAAAAAAAAATTATAGGCAGCTAATTTAAAACAATTGCTCTTGGGGTTCATAACCCCAATATTACCTTAAAGCAGTTGTAGACTTGTAGCCAATGTGTGGAAAAATATAATAACAGAACCATATAGACCGATACTCCTTTTCCAAAACTCTATTTAATTAAGGAAATTTTACAAAAAGCCCCCTTTTATAAGCAATTTTTTGCAAGAAACCACTTATAATTTTTTTTTTGCAATGACACGCCGTAACCAAATTTTTTTTGCAAATCAATACTTTTAAGCCGGATAATAAGGTTTGACTCCATTTTCCGGCGTTAACTACCCAAATCCACCTACGAAACCACCTCTCTCCCAGCCCCACCCACGAAACCATCTCCCTCCCTAACTCCACCCACGAAACCACCATTTCACGACATTAACCACCCTAAACACACCCCTTTAACAGTGTTGACCACCCTAAACACACCCCTTTAGCGACTTTGACCTACCTAAACACTCTTCTACCCTCCACTGTCAACTTCGGCACCCCTAGCCGCACTCTCCCAACCCTAAATTAACACTCAAACTACACTAATCCAGATTTCGCAAGGTGATCTAGAGGGAGTTTGATTTTGTTGGTGGGGATGAGGAGGGGAGGCGGTTTGTGGGTGGAGCGAAGGAGGGGGTTATTTCGTGAATTGGGTTGAGGAGGGGGAGGTTTCGTGGGTGAGATGGAGTGAGAGTGAGAGTGAGAGTAAGAAAGGCCGGTTCAAAGGAGAGACACAACAAATGGAAGAAATGAATGGTGGAGCATGAAAAGGGGAAAAAGTAAGACCGAAAGGAGACCAAGAACACAAAATGCTGAAACCTAGTGTCAACAAGCATGGAGAGCAATTTCGAAAACAAAAATAGCTTGAGGATATAAATGGATGCACACTATAGATTTCAAATACTAACACATATTGGGGCTTTTGAAAGGGTTGTAGACACGGAATGTGGTACGGCTGATCACGAGGCTTTTCTTTAGAAAATATGGAATAATGTACTATGGTAAATTGGAGTTATAGGAAGATTTTGTCGTATGTTTTTGTTCTAATTACTTTGTCACTAAGCCAATAGTTCATTATTGAACTATCTTTGCATCATAGGATGGTTTTTTTTTATTATTACTTTACTCTACGCTTCGTAATACATTTGGGGTAGAGGGTGTTATTTAGGTGCATAGATTCTCTTGGAGTATTGTGACTTGTGGTTAGGATTTTTGGAAACAATATGTATAAAAGATACTCCGGAGTTGTCAAAGGGTGCTTTTTAAAAAGAGTTCCCTTAGCGATTTTTAAATTTAACTCGTGTGTGAAAGTAAGAGAAAACTCTTGAAAGAAGGTTGTGAGAGTATTAAATTAAGGCAGTGAGTGGTGCCTAGAATACAGTTCATGTCTTTCTTGCATTTTATACGCACAGTAATAGCAACTAGGGAATACTATTGGTTTTTCTAAGCGGGTATCCTTGCTGCAGATTGTGGCTCTGGCATTGGTAGAGTGACTAAGAATCTCCTTATAAGATATTTTAATGAGGTATATTTTGCTTACTTACCCGTGTGGTGACTTTTGCATGTGGGTGTTTTTTTTTTCCTATTAAAAATAAATAAATAAATAAAGTTATCCTCAATAGAACCAAAGAACTTGTGTGATCTTCTTCTTCATAATGACTTTCTAAGAAGTGAATAAGTCACTTTGAATAGCTTTGATTATTTATATTCAAGAAAAAAATATAGTCATATGGGATCTTGTTAGATTACTTAGTAATAAAAAGAGATATAAATGATTAAAATGTGAAATGATAAGTGTTGTAAGTAATAAATAATTGAAGCAAATTGTGTTTGTTCAAATGGACCAATGAGCTATTTTACATCGGTAGTTGTATTTATTTGTTTATCTTATTTTATTAATATATTTATTCCCTTCAGTCTTTGGTCTAGAGTATTTTAAAAGTGAAGTGAATCAATATTGCCAACCATTGGAGTTTTGACTTATGACTGAGGCTCAAATGTGATGGATATGCAAATTCAGTGACTCTTGGTTCTTTGCTAAATATGCTGACTCTTTACTTTTCTACTCCAGTGATATTTATCGTAGAACTGGGAAGCTTAGTTTCATTTATTAAGCAACTGCAAGATTAGTTTTAGTGACCGTATGCCACACATGTCTATCAGACCTCCTTTGTTATTGCCTTTGTAATTAGTTTGGGGTATAGGATAATATCCTACTTTGTTGTATTAGTGTTACTATCTTCTCAAATTACTTATTTGCTCTCTGTAAAACATATCTTCATAATCTACTATTTCTATTGTGTCTTATATAGTGGGTTGAAGAGTTAAACATTCTTCAAATGCTAGTATGCTACCATGAAATCTATATTGCATACTCGTAAGCCTTTCAAAATACAGTGAAAAAATATGTAATAAACTGTTGGACTTACTAAACTGCAAAGCTGAAAAATCTGAGTTACTAATTTGTAAATGGTTTTTCTTATTGTGATTTCAATATTTTACTTGTTGAATTAGTCTTTTGGGATTCAAGTTCTTTGTCTGTAAGTAATTAAGCTTTATATTTTCAACTTACTCCAGGTTGATCTTCTTGAGCCAGTGCCTCATTTTCTAGAAGCAGCACGACAGAGTTTGGTGTTTGATGGTAAAATTGGTGCTGATGAGCACAAAGCTACAAATTTCTATTGTGTTCCGCTCCAGGTAATATTAGTTTTGGACTGACTTGTTTAATTATTCCAGTATGAATTAGATACATTTTCATATCAAAATTTAACTATGAAATTTAAAACTAGGTTGTCATGAACTAAATTACTTTGTCAATCTTATGAGCATTCATGAACATAGATGTTTGTATGATTGAGACTGGCAGTTTCTCCTGCTTTTTTTGGGAGTGAAACGAGGTAGAGTTGGGGGCTTGCACTCTGGTTTTTTTGACTTTTTTTTTTTTAGCGATTGTTGCATCAGCAAACCCTTTTACCACTTTATTGCATACAGCATGGATTTGTTACTGTTTGATATCGGCCTATTTAGTGACTATAACACACTGTAAAGCCGCCATGCTTATGTTGCAACATAATTATAATGTAATTGTTTTGGACTTTGGTTAGAACTTGGGTGAAAGATTTGGTTTTCCTATAATGGCTATAAATCGAATTTTGTTGATTCAAAGCTTAGCTATCATAATCACAGCTTAGTTTTAAAAGCGCGCATTGGGCGGCTTGGAGATAATCACCTTGAACATGAGAGACGTGGTGAGCCAAGGCACGTGCTTTACCTCGCCTCGCAAGGCCGTGCACTTAGGCCGCCTTTATTCAGACGCTCAAATTAAATGTTAATAATGCTTACAATGCAATTTGAGCAAAAGCCCACAATCAATTACATGCTCTATCCTTAAATTCAAGAGAAAATCAAAATTCCCAATTCGTTAAAAAAATCCCCAAATTTTCAATAGATTTGCAATGACATTTGCCGACTTGGTGGCTGTGATGCCGCTGATCATTCTCCGGCAGATTCAGGCTTCAAAACTGCTAGTGTCATCGTTGGTTAAGCTTTTCAAGGTAAGCACTCTCCTTTTCTTCAATTTCCTTTTCTTCCTTCATCCTCCCTTCAATCTTCTCTTCTCTAATATTGTGTCATTTTTTTTATACTTCTCTCTTCCTTTTTAGAAAAGCTTTCTTCTCTTTGAACACTTATAATTTAAATTTAAGGGCTTTTTCTTTTTTAATGTTTTATAATATTTATTGATGAAGTGATAAATAACCTTTTAGATTTAGTTATTTTCAAGAAATGTGCCCCCACCCAATTTGTTTTTAATTAAGCATTTAATTCTGAATACATAAAAGCATTAACATGATTACAAATGTATATAAATTTAAGTTTTGCCTTGCTTAGAGAGTGCAATGCTGTTAGATAGAGCTTAATTGGTATACTCTGATATACTCCCATTAAAACTGGAGCAATGCCTCCTCCTCCAACACTACTATTATAGCCTACACTTCATCTTAAAATTGAAGTAATCCAAAGAGAGGTGGATGTAGCTTGTTAAGTTTTAGGAAAATTTGACCTTTGCTACCAGCAAAAGAGCCTCGTGTCCCATTTACTAGTTTAATTTTTTATTTTATCTTGCTACCACCCAAATCCCTAAAATATATATTTCACTACCAAATGAGTTGTGCCGTTACAGTTTCGCTCAGCCACCGTTCAATCACCACCTTGCAGCCACCCCTCTGCCACCTCTCCCCTCAATTGCCACCCCTCCCCCGGCGCGACCCTACCCCCCTCCCTTTCCCCCACCCTACGCAGCCAACCCCTCTTCCCCACCCCGAACCAAAACCACCCCCTTTCCTTTCCCCCCACCGTAATCGGCCCCCAGCCCGTTCCCCGCACCGAAATCAACCCCCTCTCCTTCCCCTACCCTTTTCGGCCATCCCTAACCCTAAACCACCACCCCAAACCACCCTAAATGTATTTTAGGGTTTCGCTTATGGTAGGGTCGCGCTCGCCAGCCGAAGCTTTGGGCGCCGGCAGGGGGAGGGGGAAGGGGGTGGTAGTGAGTGGAGGGGTGGCAGTTGAGGGTGGCTGGTTTTTTATTTTTTTAATATTTTTTTTTTTACTTTTAATTGTTTAAAAAAAAAAACTTAATGGATTCCGTTAAATGGTAATGAAATTTTAATTATGTGATTTTAGGTGGTAGCAAAATAAAATAATAAATTAAACAGGTAGTAAATGTGACACAAGGTTCTTTCGCTGGTAGTAAATGTCAAATTTTCCTAATTTTTTGTTCCTTCTATGTCCTCCCCACTGCCTTATATCCTTTGAACCCATTTGTGAAGTGTTCTCCTCCAGAGTATCATATGGCAAAGAAAATCATCAGCCACTTTCCAATTGCTACGCTGGAGTTGAAGATATTAAACAATGAGTTTTTTTTTTAATGTCACTGCCTCACCCAGGGTATCCTTGCTTTGTCTTCTTTATCCTAACAGATTATTCTCAGGATTTTCTTCTAATTGATTCCAAAATTTAAAGATGTACATATTTTTGATAAAAATCGAAATCTAATCCAATCCAAACCAAATCAGTAATTCTGATTGGATTTAAACTTTTGGAAAAAATAAATTTCAGATTGGATCGAATTGAAGGGGTTTGGAATTATTTTAGGAGTCCAATATTAGTTTTAAAACTACTTGAATTTGATAACATAGAATACACAATAAGATAAAATAGCTAAGCTATCCTAATACTCCGTATGACATATTTTGGGATTGTGAATCAATGTAGATCAATTTGTAATATTTTGTATTTTTTAATTTCGTTCGAATAATAATGGTTCACTTGGCTTGGAAAAAATGGTGTTTTATTTTGATTCAGATCAGATGTTATCTGGCTTATATCCAAATTGAACACTGAACAAACACCTTAAAAACAATCTCTCATTACTATTTTCTTTGTAGCAAATGTTGGATTATTTGGATTCCTTTGGTTTGATATTGATATGTCTATATTTAGCAAGAGAAGATGGATCCAGTTACATTGATTTGGATGTGTAGAAAAATATTTGTTAGTTTTCTTAACAACAATTTGAGTTTGTAATGTTTTAACGATTTGAATTTGTATTGTATTAGGAGTTTACGCCTAATTCTGGAAGATACGATGTGATATGGGTACAATGGTGCATTGGGCATCTTACTGATGATGACTTTGTATCTTTTTTTAAACGAGCCAAGGTTAGTTGGTGCTTGTTATTCTCATATTGGTGATAACTTTTTTGTTAAGTATTGGAGATGGACAAATTTTGGTGATGTCGACACATGTGAGTTAATTTTTAGAACTTCACACATGTGAGCTAATTTTTAGGACTTGTACTTGGATATGGTGGTAATGGAGTGATTAGGAGTGCTGCTGTGCTGGTTTAGTGAAGTAGGTTTTTATGATAGTAATTCATGGATTCGTTAGGTCCCTGGAATCTAAGAATTAAATAAAAAAGCAGAAGCATGACCACAAATGTAAGGGAGGAGGCGAATGAGTTAAATACGTCCAGTAAGGCCGTTTATCCTTAAGGATTACTTTAAAATATCCCCTTAAATCATATTTTGGTCTTTTAAAAAATTTGGCACAATATGGTTGTTTTGAAATAAGCTTTAAATTATGACCTAGTTTTCCATTATAATTTTTGATGTGTAATTTACACAATTGTCATTTTCTACTCTCTCTCCCCCCCCCCCCCCTTGCCAATCACTCATGCTGTTGTTTATGTTGTTTTTTTTAACCTCTGATTTGCCAAGTGTTACTCGTGCAAATCAAGGAAAGTAAAAATGGAGACCATGCATGTGGTTACATTTGTATTGAAGATCGTGAGTAAGAAATTTGTTCAATAAAATTGGGTGCCACCAAGTGCGGTTGTGGATGATAAAAAATGAATAAAAGTTGTCATAAAAAGAATATGAAAGTAAAAGTGAGTAAAACTTAAAAATATGGATGGATTAAAAGTAAGACTTAGGAAAACGGAAGTAGTATAATTTTCCTAAAACTAATCCTACTAGAATTAAGGCATCTTTTTGTTACATGTAAATTTCACCCTTAAGGGGCGAGTAAAATCTTATAACTTTTAGCCATAAAGATAAATTAAGGGATGCTTCACATCAATTCTCCCTTCTTGAAATAATGTTTTTGAGAGTCTTCTTGACATGAAATTAATTCACAATTAATAGAGTAGCATAAATGCCTTTGTCGAGAAAGCGTTGAAATGTGTCGTGATCCCCCCTATGCATAATCTTGAATGGACCTTCTTTAAGTAGCTTATTCTTCCCCTTTGAAATATTTTGAAGCTTTTGAGCACTATGTGAAAGTCGTACATAATCACCAATTTCAAATGGACATATTTGTACAGCTTTTATGAAATGCTCTTGATTTTCTGCCCCCTTTTCCTTCTTTCTCATAGATCATCAAAATCTAAGAGTGTGCTAAAATAGAGAAAGGGGAAGGAAAAGAAGGGGAAAAAGGGGATGGAAATATGATGAGTTTCTTTCTTATTTTCATTGTTGAAGGAATCAATTTCTTACAAGTTGATCCCTCTATTTCTCTCCCCTCCAATTCCCTTCCTTATTCATTTGTTATCCAAATGAAAGGTACTCCATCCCTCCATTTCCCTTCCCTTCCTTTCCCTGCATTTCCTTCAATCCAAAAAAATGGAATTAGGTTATCTAGTTGTGCTATCAACTTGTTTAGGTCGCTAAAATATTGGAGGTAGTGGTTATAAGCCAGTTTTTGTGTCCATAAAAAATCATGTTGATGCTTTTCTTACAAAGATGAACACCATCCCTATCCTATTGCCATGGATGAGCCAAAAATAAAGAATATTTTGAGTTATCATTAGTGTAACATCAACATCACTCCATAGCTTATCTTTCCTGAATATCTTCATTTTGCAATTAATTAAGCTTCTAGGGAGTAGGATGGTGTTACGTTTGCATACCCAAATTACTCGATAGATCATCTTCATCATTCAACCAATTTAACTTGAAGGGACTAGGATGGGTTTTGATTACAAACTGAATCTATCAACGATTTCTTAAAAGTCAAATTTGTACACGTATGATCATCAATGATGAGAGAAAAACTACAAATATCAACCAAACACCTTGTGTGAAATAAAATTTCCTAAGAATAGTACACGTATGCTTGATCTTTAATAGGTGATGTACTAATTCTACAAAAATTAATTCATGTATGCTTGGTCTTCAATTGGTGATGTACTAATATGAAATATTTTTAAATAATAAAGAGTATTGTGGTATGGGGCAGCCTCAGATGTAAGACCTTTGTGATGTTTCGAATAATTAGATGCAGAACCACTTCCTTCTTCTTGCTCTTTCATAATGAAGGCATAATTTTTCTTAACTTTACCCTCCATGTGATACAGCTAAAGTGCATGATGATTAGCATTCAGCAAGGCTCGCATTTATCTCATTACTATGACACTTTAAGCACATCTTGTCTTTCATAGCCTATTGTTCAGGTGTAATCGTTATTTTTTCCCCTTCTCTTCCTTAAACTAGGGTGGCCTACGAGCGCGATGCGCGCAAAGAAGTTAACTCTTGTAGAGAAATTGTATTAGCGTGTATTTACACCTTTGGTTTGGGTGGTAGACCTGTTAGTTTTAATATGCACTTTTTGGTTTTATGTGCCTATATGGTGACTTTGTAAAAGTATAAAAAAAACCAATTATTATTTCAAAATTATTATTAAATAATATTTAATTGATTTGCATCCCTTCGTATTTTAAACTATTGTTAGTTTAGAACTCTTAATTGATTTGCATTGTTCAGTAGTATCTAGTGTGTTTTTCTTCCAATGAATTTTTTTTTTTGAGCTCTGGTCATACGGAGTAATAATATGTGAAATGTTCGTTTTAGCTAAAAACTTAATAATATAAGCTCTTTATTGCTTTACGACCATTTAATATCTATATCTATATCTAATACTAAATCAATAACTACTTAGTTGTATTTTTCCTCGTAAATTTTCTCCATAATTAATACTCTGTACCAGTTTCTCTCTCTCTCTCTCTCTCTCGATTTTAGGATTTCTAAGTTCTTTACACCTCTTGATAACATATGCTTAAATATCACTATTTAATATGAATTGCATAACATTATTTATGTGTCATCAAACACTATACAATTCAAAAGCTAATAAACCTTAATAATAGTGTTGCAATTAAAGGACAGTAAGATTGTAAATAAGAAAAGCAAACACGAAGGAGTAAAAATAAACAGTCTCTTCGTAAATAATTTTTTTTTCTTTTTAAATAATAATAATAACATATGAAGTATAATTTTTATATTAAAAAAAGGCATTACAAGTTTTTTTGTTAAAAAAAAAATTTAAATTAATTGATGCCATGTTTAATGAAAAAAAAAAACATTAAAGGTATTAATGAGAGCAAACATATTAATGAGGGTAAAAAAAGTTAATACACATTTTTGTACACATTTTTATACATATTTTTAAGGGTATATTTGGTAGTACACTATTCCTAAGAGTTATCTCCTACTTTTTATAAGGTAGGGAATAAATAATTAAGAGTAAACCCCTAAAAAGATTTTGAGTTAGAGTACGGAGTTTTATGTTCCTCTTTTTTTCCTGACTTTTTAAATCACGTAGCTAGATATGCACCTCAACAAATCCTTTGAAAAATAAAGTTTTCACCCCTTCGAGAAATGGATTTGCAAGAAAATGTCTCTTCATGTATTTTTTAAATTACTTGTCATACCATAGTCTTTTGGAAGAAAACATCTTACTATTCGTTTCTTATGTTTTTGCCAAGTATCAATCCTTGGTTTCTCAACTCTCCTTTAAGATTTAATAATTCCAATAGACCATTAAGAACATAATTTGTAACTCTTGTTTTCTTCATATTCCTTATACCTTTGCCTAGGTTACACCATCGGAATACCCCATAAGGGAATTAATCTATACTTCCTTCAATCTTCACTTTACGCCACACCAAACATGTTCTATAATTCTCTACCCATCAAATTTTGTTAGTGGATTTTTATCACTGTAAAATAGTGGAAGATCATGTTTAAACCCTCTATTCTAATCAAAATTATGATAATTGGATCAAGGTGGATCAACATCATTTGCAGATTTAGGCTTACCAACATCAAGAATAGCTTTCTCATTGGCCTCAATTTTCATATTAATGACTGTAGCAATTATGAAAGAAATTTATCAAGAATAGGTTTCATGCCAAATTGCCAACTAAGTTTGAAACTTAGCAACAAATATATGTATGTCGTCGCAATAACAAGAATAATAAAGTGGCAACATCTCACCAAACTATCATAGTCAAGGGGTAGTCCACATGTGATTGTGAATTAAGGTAGTGTTTGGCCAAGAGGGAAGTGTTTCTCAGTGTGAGAAGCTGAAATTTGGCCAAACAAGGGGTTTTGCAGAAATAGAAACAATTTTTTAGACGCCTTAATGACCCCAAAATAGCTTCTAGCTGGTGTAGAAGCATAAGCATCACTCTTGTCGATTACAATTAACAAGATGAAAACAAATTGCAGTAAGTGTTTGGTTTTAACATAATCGAATAACAACCAAAATGCTATCATTTTTTATTCACTTAAATATGTAAAATTACTTTTCTAGTTTAGGCCCTCTTTTTAGCTACAAAACTGAACTTCTAAATGACCTAGGAAAATTATCAACTCCCCTAATGAGAAATTGAGAATTAGAAACTAACTTTTAACATTTTTCCTACTAATAATTCTACTAAATTTTAGACATATTTCTTATCACAAGTAGAACTTCACCCTTAAGGAGCAAGTAAATCCATGTAGCTATCATAATAGATCAGTAAAGATTGATTAGGAGATGCTTCCATATCACATAATTAGAAAATAAGCTATTGGATTTCTTTGTCATGTGGTTTTAAGCATTGATTCCAATTGGCTTCCTATATCTTAATTTCAATGAACGGATTCCCGGTGAAAATAGAGCTATGTGGAATATGGTACATCTGTAATTGTAGGGTACTCCGTGGATTTACGTTAGACTATGAGAGACAATACCTTTTAACATGAAAATGTAGATTGTATTATTTACTTCGATTTTATTATGTGTGTTTTGGTTGTACTGCCTGCGCCAGTTGTTTCTATTGTTGACTTGGGACTCTTATATACTACCTTTGTTTCCTATTATCTGCAACATTGGAGAAAATTGCGGACTCCAGTGCAAAATTTCTAAAGTGGAGATTAATAAAAAGGACATGTGATTAAGATAGAGTGAGGTAATTAATTAATCAAAGCCTTCCACCACAACACCACCGACCACTCCAACAACACCACCAACTCCAACAACACCATTGACCACTCGAACAGGACCATCGACCACCACAACAACAACATTGACCACCCTACAACATCACCGAATCCACCAGTACTAACCCCACCAATTGTCCACTCACAACCCCACCAGTCACCCAGCCACCTCACTACATCCTGAAATGCCACAAACCCCAAGTGCAACAAAACCCATCCCCGCCCACTCTACACCAACCAAATTCTACCATGCTCACCCCAAAAATCCATCAAAAAACAACCTACCTTCCGTAAACCAGCCACCTGTCTTCAAAAAACCCAGATTTGGGCGACAAGTTGAAGGGAACGTGTCAAAAAGAGATCGGAGATAAGGGGGACCAAGTCAACAAGGGAGAGGAGGCGGCGATCTGGTGGTGGTGGGGTGGTGTGTTAGTTGTGAGAGAAGAGAGAGAAAAGTGGTGGTGGTGGTGTGTGTTGGCTGTGAGAAAAGAGAGAGAGAAGTAGTGGTGGTGTGTGTTGGCTGTGAGAGAAGAGCGAGAAAAGTAGTGGTGGTGTGTGTTGGCTGTGAGAGAAGAGCGAGAAAAGTTGTGGTGGTGGTAATTTGTTGGTAGGGATGAGAGACAAAATGCGGTGGTGGTGGATATGGTTGTGAGGGAGGAGAGAGAAATGTGGGTTTGGTTTTAACGAGGGATGGGTTAATTTAGGCTAATAAGTTGATAATAATTGATTTAAGATTTTAATTGAATTTAAGTAAGGGCATGTTGGTAATTTCATTCAAAAAACTTACTGTAAAAGGAAAATTTTCAGTTTATTGCAAATAATGTGTAGTTTCCGTATATGGCAAATGTTGCAAACGGAGGTAGTATATGTTTTTCCAAGTATTAGTAACTGATGTTTTCTTCTGCCTCATTTGAATAAAGATATTATATGAAGTGGTTCTCACAACACAATTTTTTCATATTATTGTCATTAATGTCAGGCTGGTCTCAAACCAGGTGGATATTTCATCGTTAAGGAGAACACTGCCAGAAGTGGTAAGGACAGTACCTGTAACATCTAAGTTACTTTGTTGCTCTGGCATTACATTTAATAAACTTCCATAGGAAACTTGCTAGCATTACATTCTCTTTTTGGAATTGTTGATGCTTTTTAAGTAGCCTGATTTGCTTCTGACTTCTCTTAATTACCTATTTAAGATACAATGCTAGGGAAATATTAAATTAGAAGCAGCGCCTGGCAATACCATTATTTTTTATGTAATGTCCATGTTCTCATCTCGTTCAAACAATTTCAAAACCTTTATTTTCAAAAAGCATATAGCTCACCTCACCTCACCTCATTTTAATAATATGATCTGTTCTCTTCGAATTATTTTCAGCTCAGCTGTAATGTAACACCTCAATAATTCTCTCTTTTTCAAACTACTTAATTTAAATAAAATAGAGGAGAACCATTGGCATGTTACCGCCACGTGTTAAAACGTTAAGGTTTTATCAAAGTATCGTAGCGGAAATCCAACTTACAATTTAAATTAATATAATTTAGAAACAACAAGTCAAAGCTTACAAATTAGAACCATAAATGCCCTTATTAAAACCAAACCAATATTCAAATCCCAAAACATAATTGAAATAGTAAAACATAAATAAGTTCAACACAAAGAACGAATAGTCTCGATCTCACTAATCCCTTGACAATGCGTATGTCAAATCCCCAAACTTCACATCATCAAGCTAACCTGTGCAATACTGCTCCCCAATAATACAACTGTAATAATTGGATCATCACAGGGTCATTGAAAGGGAAGGCCATGACCAAAAGTAACACACACAAAAGCACGCAATCAGCAAAGCTGAGTACATACAAGCTACAACGTACAAATCCTATCATGCTCAATTAATTAAAGTAAATAAACATGCAATACGAATTCATTAATCAAGACTCCACACTTAGACAATTTAACTGACTCAACATATACTTACTAACCAACTCCAAACACTTGACTCTTTATATTTAATTTGATTAATTTAATTTGAAGTATGTAATAGACGAGGTTGTCCAACCCACGAAATCATTTTGGTCCCAAATGACTATTTAAAATAAAAGTTTAGCGCAATGCAAGAATGGGCGCAACTCCATTCTCACAAAGTTAGTCTAGGATCTCATCTAACTTTCATTATAAAATAAAAATGTAATTACCAAAAGAGAATAGGACATGTTGATGAAACAAGCCTCAGAAAGCCACGGGCTACCACCGTGTACCCTAACCCATAATTGTCAATACTCTAGAAGTGCATACTTTCCAGAGTTTTATTGCTCATCCATGTTTCACTTTATGTGATTACAAATTTAATTAATAGCCGACTCACTTAAGCAGACCATACATAACAATCATACATCAATTCACTTTTAATCTTATTTAGGACAATGGTGATCACATCACAAATTGACCTTTAGTTTCTTTAAACTTCCGAATTATCCAAATTTGTTGAACATAGTCAACCCACCTAGTTATTTCGCCTTAATCCACTTTTACTCAATATACTAACAAGTCATGCTTGAGTTATAAATAAAATAATAATAACCTTGTAGAATAATTAATAAATTCATTCCACTTAAACCATTTAATTCCAATCCTTCAATACTCCAAATATGGTTAATAAACCAATCCAATTAAAACATGCTTGTATCAACATTCCATACAAACAATTAATCCAATATAATTCAATATGCTTGCATCCATAATTCCATACAAACATAATTAATTCACCAAAATATGTCTCATAAACATAAGCACATGAATTAATTAAATGTATAACCAAACAATTTCCATCCAAGTGTTCTCTAAATATGAAACTAAGTTCTTTTCTTTTGGTACCTAAACATGATACTACTTACAACGAAGTAGACATGTACGTACTTCGTATAAACAATCTTTCGTGCCACTTTAAATCAATCAAAAGTCTCCTAGGGAATAATCACTTCCCGGAAAACAACCAATAATCACAAATTAATACCCAAACTAATTTCCAGCAATATAACTTTAATTAAAACTCCTTAAAACTACCTTTAAAACATGTTTTTATGCTTAATAAATCATTAGAAATTCAATAGGAACAAAAGCCCCAATTTAATTGATCATCAGAAGTTCAGAACCCTAAAATCCCAATTTTATTAAATTAAAACCCTAGGTTTTAGAACTCATAAAATCTGAAAATTTAAAACTATTATATAATCTGAAATTATAACTTTTAATCATCAAAATATAGTTTTTCATACTAATTAAATTAATTTCAAACAATAAAACCAAAACTCAAAATTAATTACATAACAATAAGCATTATAACTTTTAATCATCAAAATATAGTTTTTCATACTAATTAAATTAATTTTAAACAATAAAATCAAAATTCAAAATTAATTACATAACAATAAACAAATAAAAATGAAAACAAGGGAAAGAAAAGGGGAAGGTGGCTGCCGGCTGCAGGGGCTGGTGGTCAGGCGGCGGTGCAAGGGAGGCGCACCGGTGGTGGCTGGCAGCAGCAAGTGAGCTTTGCTCACATAGGAAGAGGAAAGGAAAGAAATAAAAGGAAAAAAAGAAAATAAAATAAAGGAAAAAGAAATAAAAAGGAAAATAAAGAAATAAAATAAAGAGAAGAAAAAATAAAACTAACCTTTAGTGTGGGGAAAATTTTGGGGATGTATGAGGTATTTATAGGAGAGAGAGTTGTAGAGTAAGTAGGAATATTGAGGCTCATAAAAATAATGAGCCAATTAAGGAATAAAATAGAATAGGCTTTATTTGTATTCACAGGAACTATAGAATGATGGTTCATAAAAATCATAATGTAATAAAATAATTTTTCACCCAAAATAATTTGAAACTTTTTAAAATAAAATCCGGAAAAATACAAATAAATATTATAAATAAAATGAAATTTCATTTATAAAATATTTAAAAATACGGGGGATTACATGTAATCTCTAATAAGTTAAGCTCACTTCAGTTCTTAATTTCTTTATCTCATAAAATATTCAATTCAGCTCAGTTCCAATAAGTTAAGTTCAGTTTAGTCTAGTCAATCAAAACAGGTGCTTAGTGTCTCTCTTACAAACAATAAAAAAGAATTACAAGGGTCCTTAAAAGTTGCTTCACATGCATATCATATCAAGGAAAAATCTTACAGTACTATTTCAGAGAAAATAGACCCCTATAAGAGAAAGCCGCGTAACCAGAGTTCCAATGCGCATATTCGGAGAATAAAGTGGAAGGAGGATAAAGAAACCTTTCATATGGCCCGTTAGGTCACAGGGCCATCGTCACAGCATGTCAAGAAACCTACCTTTCCAGAGGGTTTTGCAGATTTGTTCTCATCATGTTTAATATATTCTAAAGATAACTCCTAACATAGCTTAGTACACGCCAAAGCAAAAATAATCAAGTTGGAAGGTGCCGGCTATTATACATGAAATGGATAAGAACAATGCAAATAATTTATCTAAACCACTCCTTACTTAAGTTACTTCCTTAGCCCCCCTGAGAAACCCTATGCGAATTATTGAAGAACTTAAGACTCAAGTAACCTGCTTTAGGAGAAGGTTGGCCTAGAATTTCACATCATTTTTTGTAAAAAAAGTGTTTGCAAAGTTGCTGGAAATAACATCTCCATCTTGTTTTCACAACTTCCAAAATAATGAGTGCCACCTAGACAAGCGAATTTAAAAGATAAAGTTACAAAGCATTTGAACGTGGAAATTAATTTTGTTTGGCAACCTAGCGAAATACAATAAATAAACATTGATGTATCGAAAGAAGCTTATATTTGAAGCTTTGCTAAATAAGAAATTTCATGCACCTGCATCACAAATTTCAAACCATATGACTTCCTAGAGCCATGTCCTTTATTTGAAATAGTCTTTGAAAGTCTAACACCTAAGCAGATGATAATTTTAAATGGCTGTCAGTCTGACACAATTTTTTTTACTAATGTACTAGACTGGATTATGGGTGATTGCCCTACAGGCTACAGGTAAAAAATTGACAAGAGTACAGTTTGGGCTATAAATATAAAGCTGGTTTGCCTCATTTTATTTGTGGCTTCCCTTAGTCCATTGAGTATTTATAAAGTGAAATTTTGTGTTGCTTGCTTTCAGGATTTGTGTTAGATAAGGAGGATTGCAGCATAACAAGATCAGATTTATATTACAAGGAACTTTTCAAAAAGTCTGGGCTGCATCTCTACAAAAATAAGGTATGTATTACATACCCTCATGCTTAACGTAGAATAAAACTCTCTTTTCAAGTAATCGTTAGATGTCAGCTATATAGCCTAGAAACTAATACAATTTTGTAAAGATTAAGAAACAATTAATATTTAACCAGAGTATGAAATAAGCCCTTTACTTTGTCACAGAATGCCCACCCTCTGTTTCTCCCTTTCTCTATATCAACTCATCCTCTAATAAATAATCATCCTCTTCACCTCTGGTTTCAAGTGATCACCATTAATTGAAACTTAAGTAGAGTACGTTTCCTTTTGACCGCTTGCCAATTGGGCTATTATGGTTGGGAATTTCATTTTTCAAGACCTAAAATGTTTAATGGTAATTGGGACTCCAGATGAATTTATGATTTTTAATGGTTTCCATGACTATCAAGACCATTTCATACGCATTCCTTATGGTACTCCGCATTAATCCATTAAAGATTTGCATGTTTACTAAGCTTAGTTTAAATTTCTAAATAAGTTTAGATAAATAATGACCTTGCTAAGTTTAGATTAACAAGGACCTTGCTTAAAAAAATATTTCATTTTATATTCATTAGTTGCTTCAGAAAGAAATCTCAATTTATATCCATAAGTTGCTTTGCTTGTCTTACCTTAGCATTGAAGTTGAACCGCCTCATTGTAGGAAGGTTTTTATTGATGTTTGTAAACTCACAAGAAAAGTGTTGGCAATTTTGGTTTTAGCTCGTAGAATGAAAAGATTTTAGGAAAAATTTTCTGGAATAATCCCACCTTTGGCTATCAGCCAAAAATAATTCCACCTTTGGGTTATTTTTAAATAATATGACCTTTATACCTAATCCGCTCAAAATGGTCCCAAGTAGAGATGGGTATGGAAGGCACGGCTCGAGCACACTAGCGGCACGTCACGATGTCCGAGGAGGGGGCCGTGGGACATGCCGTAAACGTGATTTTGAATATTCGGCACGGGCACGACACGAACCCGTGGGCGACACGGTACTTTGGCCCGCGAGCACGGCACATAAACAAAAAGAACATAAATATAAAGAACAATGATAGTAAAATAACATGCACATAAATTAATAAAATTATTTAAATAGTGTATCCAAATTTAGTTTTTTGCTAAAAATTTATTTTATTTATATTTATTTTTTTTACCAATCACAAGCCGCCACGTGCCATTACATGAGCGGTTGGGATTATTTTGAGCGAATTGAGTTATAAAGGTCGGATTATTAAAAACTAATCCTAAGGTGGGATTATTTTTAGCGGACACCCTAAAGGAGTAAAGGTGGGATTATTCCAGACAATTAGATTTTAAAGAATTGTATGTTACATTGTTACATGGATGAACTATGTGTATTAGAATATGTAGGATATAAATTTTATCTATAGTAGAATTGCAATGAAACCTTTTGTTGCAAGATCAAAACAAATTTTAGGGTGTAGTATTTAAGGTAACCTAACTCTAGTTGTGTGAAGGAAGTAAGGAACCATCTATTTGATATATTTAAAAAAAAAAATTAAAATATATATCAAATGTCATTCTTATTTGAACTTCTTATTTCAGGATCAAAGAAATTTTCCTAAAGAACTCTTTCCGGTAAAGATGTATGCACTAACCACAGAAGTGCCCAAGAGAAGTCGTTTGTCCAGATGTAAACAACATGCTAATAGACCAAGCATCATCAAGTGATGATATTCTTCTGTGTAAGGTGTCGATTTTTATGAAAGATTTGGGTTCAAATACTCTTTAAATCCCTTATTTGCACACTCCATTGTTTGTGCATGGTGGTGAATTGGTGTAAGAGCTATTGTAAGCAAAGTGCCTGTAGTGCCTGTCTTTGGAGATGCTTTGAAAAAATTCATTATTTTAGCTTCGCACTAGAACTTGTGATATGTTGCACAAGTAATTGCTCTGTCAGTTTATTTATGTGCTTCAACCAGTGATATTGTTGGTCATGTCTGAACAAGTGCTAATTATATTTAGTTCTCATTTTTAGTGGCATGCATGAAGCTGAAGCATACCGTGTTTTTGTTTTACTATAATCTAAAATTAGTCCGCCTTTTCTTGTTCGTTCTTCGAATGATGCTAGTGGAGACTAATTCCTTACAAAAAAACATCATTTAGGATTTCGTATATAGATTTATCATGATTCGTGCAAGAGTAGTTTTTGCGCTTGATCTCTATTGACATTTGGATCAAGGTCAAAGATCGAGGCCTCCAATTGTCATCCCTATGTAGGTATTTATTGATAAAATTGAAGTTACCTTGAGTATGTTATAAGTAGTAAAAGACAACGAAACAAATCTTGTAGGATTGATAAAATTTATACTATCATTGTGATATGGACTAAGGCGTTTATCGAAGATAAGAAGTGGAAAAACAAATTTTCACAAATCTAAAAATTAGAAATGGCTAGTCCTGTGACCTTGGTTGGTGCTTTGTTAAAACACAAAGTATTTGTCTTTCGAGACTCAAGAAAATATCAGATCACCGTCATCTTCTTGCGATGAAGAACAAGTTTTCATCCGATAACAAGTTGGTGGTGGTTATAGCGAAGGAGAACAGCGAGGTCATCCATGGCGGAAAAAGAGAGAAAGCCTAAGATTTTCAGATTTTTTGAAAAAGGCCCAAAAATCAATTTGGGGCTTTCTTATATGACGTATAATTGTTGAAATTGATTATCACATATGATTGTATGTTGCATTGTGAGCATTTTGATAATATATGCATGTATTTTGGTTGAGAAATGAGCAAGTTATGTTATGCTCATGAACTTAGTATGAACACTTCAATGGAGGTTCCAACATTGTTATACATATTATCAAACATATTATACATATCTTCAAACAAATTATATATATCCTCCATTAGTTGGATGATATCCTTAAAGTCTATATGATATTATGGTTGAATGATATTCTCTATTAGTTATATGATATTGTTTATGATTGTGTATATGATATCCTTTATTAGATGGATGATATCCTTTATTGGCTATGTAATATCATGGTTGGATAATAGCTATATATGATACCGTTTATGATTGTGTCTATGATATCATCTATTGGCCGGATGATATCCTCTATTGGCTATATGATATAACTAGTGTGGTCTGGGCAGTGCCTCGAGTGTCACTTTTTTTTTTACCTCATAAGTATTTATTTTTTAATCTTGTGAAAATAAATAATATAACCTCTAATTTACTTCATAAATGAAAGGAATATGTAGAAATAATGTTATGTGAAACTTAAAACATTAATAAAAGTTGGTTGAGATGGTAAATGTATCATTTTTATATGTTGGGGGTTACGAGATAAAAAATAAAATATAAAAATAAAAATTTAAAAAAAGTGATATGCGGCGCATATAATTTTAATAGTGTTGGGGAAATTGGTTACCGGGTCACAAAAATGACACGAAATTGGACAAATTAACACTTCGAGGCCTGAACAAAATAAGTTTCTCAAAGTAATATTTCGACCCTGAATTTACACACCGGGTATCACAAAATTACTAGGAGATACAACGAAGACAATCACAACAGTGTGTAGTATGTTTGTGATCTAATGTAATCAAATTTAGATTAATTATGATGAAGATAAATAAACTTGCAAATTGATTTCAAGAAAAATAAAGGAACTAATTATTTTCCTCAAATTCCCATGAAGAACCGCCCCTTTATCTTCTTAAAAGTCCTGACATCATATGTTTTTATCAACATATTTATATTAGAGCAACAAAACAAAGCCAAACCGTCCAAGACTTTCAAGAATAACTGTACAAGACTTTCGAGAATAACCGTCACTCACAAATTGCATTTGACCCGCGCCCGATCGGGCTATCCTGAGTGACGAAATCTGATACCTTCTCGCGCCCGGTCAGGCGAGCACCACCCTGACCGGGCGGCTGATCGGGCGGCAGTACAACACTACTCTTTATGAAATCATTCTTATTTGTTGTGTTACCTTCTTCTTCACCGAGGCTCTTGTTCCTTTCAACCAAGGAAATTGCTCTAATAATCTTATTTAATTCATTACAACACCATTGCCTAAGTAATTAATTAATTAACATGTATTTAGTCCACAATACTCTAAATTATTCATCAATCCTTCCCCATTTAGAGTATAAACCTAGACTCTTTGCAAAACATCATCATCATAAAGACAATCTCGTGCATAATTGAAAGTGTACAAAGACTTGAACTTCCCCTTAGTGCAATACACATTCCAAGAACCCGTATCCATTCGGTGTCGTAAAAAGATTGAACCAAAAGCAATACATATTGGATTCATGAAGATATTACACACACAAGATACATTACTTGATTACATTAATACTTGACACGTAAAGCCATGCGTCCCTATCTTTTCGTAAGTACTTCAAAGCTATGCTCCAATAGCTTCTTGAAGCGGCTAAACTTCGTAGTTATATAGGTAGACTTCTAACTTGCTCCTGTGACCGAGCAGTATATCAGGAATTATATTAAGTTAAAACAACCTCTTTTCATCACAGAAAACTGGAACTTAACCTTGGATGATTAAACAAGTTTCTAATCATCAACTAAAAGAATTAATCTCGTTGAACTTAAGACCCAACGTCATATTAGGCGTTAAGTTGAGATTCTCCTAATTGTGATCACATAGGGATCCAATCTCAAAAAGATTGTCATCCATTTATTAACATCTCTAACCCATGCTTTTTAAAGCAAGTGGAGAGATTTAAGTTCGTACGAAAATAAACAATAGTTTTTACACTATCCCTGTTAAGCCCTTGATGTAACTAAACCTTACATCAATATACCTTGACTCGCCATTTTACACTCGGTTATATGCCTTAGCCAAAAATTACATTGTTATCACAATTCATCACTATTAGTGATATTGACTTTTCCAATAAACAAATCTCATCATGCATTAAAACCCTTAACCATTCTGTTTCTTTATCGGCGGAATGTAATGCAATGAACTTTAATGTCTTATAGAATCCGCAATGCAAGTTAATTTGCTTCTTAGATGCCCATGAAATGGCACCTCCCCCATATGGGAATACCCATCCACTTGTGAATGAATGATCTCTATTTGAGATCCAACTTGCATCCGAATATCCTTCAACAACCGAAGGATATCCACAATATCATTATCCATGGTTTTATTCAAGTACTTCAACAAACAATGAACCGTTTGTCAATGTAGTATTCTAAAGTTACTAGTGAAACCACTACTATTGATCAACATCATAAGCTATATCAGGTCTAGTACTTGTCATGAAATACAACAAAACATCCTATAACTCTAGCAAATTCCAGTTGTGAAAACTGCATAAACATTACTAGGTAATAACTTTATGCTAGGATCCATAGGTGTTGAATAAAGAAAGGTCGAACCTTTATTAACATTGTATTTCTTGAGCACATTCTCAATATAATGAGATTGTGACAAGATCAACTTCCCTTTTTTCTTTCTTTATTCTTATGCCCAAGATGACATCCTCTTTCCATGTCTTTCATGGAAAACAATGAACTAAGGAAGAACTTTCGCATTTCAATTTGTGACAAATCTGTTCTATCCAAATATTTACATGTCATCTACATATAGACAAATTTTGACGCTTTGACCGTTGTCATCAAATTTGCTATACACACATTTGTCTAAAATTGTTAATCATAAAACCATTTAACAACACTACCCCATCAAACTTTGATATCATTGATTAGGTGCCTATACATTGATTTAAATAACTTGCAAACTTTTGCCTATTGGCCTTCCACAACAAACTCTACCGATTGTCACACATAAATCTTTTCTTCCAAATCTCCATTCAAGAACACAGTCTTGACATCCATTTGATGGATCACTAGAATTTTAATTGCTGCAAATGCAATTAACCATCTAATTGTTGCGATTCTAGTTACAGGTGCATATTCCTTATGCCACTAACTGGGCCTTGAACCTTTTAACAGTTCTATCAATCTTCAATTTCTTTTGAAGATCCATTTGCACCCTATTTGTAACACCCCCAAAATTCGAGTCTTTAAAAACAATACGAGTAACCTTTAACTTTCAAAAACCCAACCATCGAACTCTGTGAGTGTTACTGCTACACTTATTTTCCGTAGAAAATAAATGCAAAGCAAAAATAACATAATATTTAAATAACTAAGAGGTCTAAGTTGTGGCAAAATAAAATAGTCGTTACTTCAAAATTTCAATTATGTTGAAACCAATAATTGAGAGGAAATAATTAAATTCGAGAATAAAATAAATTGTCTTAGCTACGTGATTATTCTAACGTCTCCTCACACGTAACTGAGTACCCTTTTTACCAACCTGCAAAATAAATCAGAAACAAGAAAAGAGAGAAAACTCCCAAAAATCAGATAAACTGAGTAATTCCAACTCCATCCCGTAAAATAAATAATTTTAGTTCAAAACATTTTATACATAATATAGTCTCATAAATATTTTAATACTCAACCAAGTTCAAATAGTCACATAACATATTATTACTTTATTTAAGAAAGGGAAAGAGAACGCCAGTAAACCGGGACTAGTCTCTGTCACCACCTACTTTACAGAGGGTCGCGCGTAACCCCAATTGGCCATAAAATAAAACAGAATGTCCGTAGTGTGCACACCCCTCACTAATACCCAGTGATTAGGAGGAAGACTAACGGCAATATACAATAATTTAAACCAACTAATAGCAACCATAACTACTAGTGGGCAACATGTTCTTCACCCTTTCGGGTTTCATTTCCCTTCTTAAATTAAATTTCACTGTACATTTTATTTGATTATATCATCCAATTACACTGTACACAAGTATTGCACAAATCAATTTAATTTCAAGTAACAATACTTCAATTTCAGTATTATTAGACCATAGTCATCCTACATGACATATAGACCATCAATCACGTATAATCAATCATCCACTACCCAAGATTATATAAAAAAACTCATACGATGACAAATAATCATATTTTTCGA